TCACTGTTCACCACCCGAGTGGAGATGGATTGTTGATACAATATTGATTTCCCGGGTCAACTCCTGCTCACATGTTTGCTAAATTGCCATATTTGGTCACTTTTTTATTAGCGGTTTGATGCATTTGACAGCTGTCATCTGCATGTCATCTGCATGAAAGTGAGATTTGAGGCCATGCCAAGAACCAGAGGTTTTCTCTCTCTCTCCTCTCCTCTTCACAACCCATTGTTGCCATTTCACGGCTCGCTCTCTCTTTGGCCAAGAAGAATTTCAAGGAAACCTCTAGGATCAGGGTATGAACTAAGGTAGGTGTTAAAATTCCTCTTCCTTTCTCTTTTTGTTTTTAGGTGATAAATTTTCAACTATGGTTTGCCCCTAAGCACAGCTGATTCAGCTGAGTTTTGCATTTCAGTGAATAGTAGTAGCCTGTTAGTAGTAACAGGCCTCTGTCTTCCATTTCCTACACTAACACTGATAATTCAACAGTCTGCACATTAATGCACAAGGGCCAGGAGTGTACAGTGAAAACTGTTTTATCCATCAGTCATTCCAATTTTATTGAGTTAATTAATGAATGTCTTTGTGAGGATGTTGAGACACTAGCAAAAAGGTTATTATTTTCGTAAAATCTTATGCTTGATATATTCATTTTTCTGTGTGGACAAAGATGCTTAAGGTAACCTTGCCTTTGCTGACTTCTGTTTTCACATCAAATGTATGTAATTAAGAAATATTGAAACAATGGCCTCAGTTGCTTGGTTTGACTCTGACAGTGGAGTAAAGCCAGTAGATTTTATTTTCTTAGAGAAAAGACAATGCAATGCTGACTTCATGTAACAAACTGGCTTTGAGCACAAAGGCAATTCTTTCTAGAAAAATGATTTTAGCAGGACGTGAAGAGCATATTAAAATTAGGTGCCCTGTAAAGCTTCAGCTGTGTGTTTCAAAAGTATGTAGTAGTGACTGCGGCAGTCAGTCAAAGTTAGAAGGATTTGCCTGTATGGGGACATGGGGACAACTGTTGCTCCTTAGTCACAGTGGAGTGTTTTTCCATACAAATCCTTTTACATATTGTACGTTTTTAAATTTTTTAACGTGTCATAAAACCTTTCCCTTATGCATTATAGGCCTAAAATTTTTGTACGTCCATAACAGAAAAGCCCTCTAAAGCCTCTAATTTTGTTTTTGTTTTTGTTTTTTTTTTAAAAAGCCGTTTCATAAGATAATCTCAGGAAGTGATGGCTGCAGTATTTTTTTATAGTTGGGGTGAAACTTCTAACAAATACCAGGGCTTCCGATAGGTCGGGGAAGAAAAAGTCAAATTTCGCGGGATTTTTGGAGACAAATTCGCGGAAAAATCGGCCGATTTAGCGGGAATTTCGCGGGAGTTTTTGGGACAAACCTCAACAAAAAGCAATCGTTAAAAAAGGGCCGATTTTGTGGTTATTTTCATGGCAAATTTCGCTAGAAATCGATCAGTTTTGGGCTGATCAGACCAGCAGTTTTAACGTTTTTCTAACAGAGGTCATCATTTGCTCTTTCAACAATACGCTCCCGAAATGCACCAATGGCAAGGCCTTTAACATCATGGCTAGTGCCCAGTTTTTCGCAACATACTTGCGCCTGGTAGTTTCGGGACGTTGTTTGCAGTGACTAATTCCAAGATAAATTTGCAAGTTTACGGCAAGTAAATAGCCCCTATAGCTGAAATAAGTTTCAAATATGTTGTACAGACATGTATTTGATAAGATTTCTACCGAATTTCGCGGTATTTTTCGTGTTTTTGTGAATTTCGCGGGATTTCGCGGATGTACCTGAATTTCGCGGTTCCGCGACCGCGCGAAATATCAGAAGCCCTGAAATACCCACCTTTTCTTGGGTTGGTGGAGGTGGTGTTTACATTACCTCCTGTGTAACAGGTTATCAATAACAATGACTTTTAAGTTTTTTTAAATCGAATTTGAAGATGCAAGAGAGTACAACCTAAGTCACATTCTTTACTCTTGTGTGACTGCAGCTGAAAGTTGGTTTGAGGACAATAGTCTGGTTTTACCCAATTCTATTTGTGTGTTTTTTTAAGTGAAAGCCAACTACCAATGTACTTCACTCTCAGTCTGTTGCCATAGCATGTGTTTAATTGAAAGCCAGCTACAAAGATGAATGTATTTCACTCTCAGTCTGTTGCCATAACATGATAAATTTAAGAAATCAGCTGGCTCACATACAAATCCCCAAGCAAACTCCCTACCCCAAGGACTGATAAACAAAACATGAAAACTTAAGCGAAAAACTGAATAGCAAAGTACTAAGAAAAAAAAACATTGGAGACCGATTATTTTCTTCAGGAGGATTTGCGTAGAAAGCTTAAGAGGTGAATGGTCCTTAAACTCGCTTCAGCGCGAAAATATGCACAGACATTATGGGCTCCTGCAAATACCAAGAGAAAGTCATCTTATCTTTCATAATGTGTACTCGATTATGTAAAGGGGTTCTAATGCACCTAAACAAAAAGATAACTCGAAGAAAGTTTCCAAGCTTTGATTTACTTTTGAATCCTGGTTACGGTGTGTCCATTTTCTTAACAAACAGTAGTCGTGCGCCATATATTAGCATGTAACTCGAATAGCGCCGTGACGTCAGTTTGAGGTCCTTGAGCCTTGGTAGATAAATCGTAGAGGAAGGAATTTTAAGTATTGTTAGCTCCGCAAGTAAAGTTATTTAAATCAAATATATTGGAGGAATACTTTCACTAAAAAGTGGCGGTACGTTCAGATTGTTAAGAAGAATCAATTTATAGGGAATGCGCATTTAGTAAAACAACACTTTATCTGGGACTGATTTTTCTTCTTGTTTTTGTAAGGTTTGCATACATGTAAGCACATAAGCTGTATTGGGAGTTTTAAGTGGAGACTGCTCCTTAACCTCGCTTTAGCATGGAAATGTGCAGCTGCCAAGAGAAAATTAACTTTTCACGAAATCTGTGCTCGATGTTGTAAAGGGGATTTAATGTGCCTAAACAAAAACGGGATGCTGAGAGAAAGTTCTCTTCTGAATCCTGGTTTAAAGGTGTGTCTATTTTCTTAGCAAGAAGTTGTCGTGCACCGTGATATTTACATGAAATTCCAAAAACAAACCTGACGTCAACTTATACCTTTCTTAAACCTTTTTAGACGTAACTTTCAATTTTACGTATTTGAAACTCCCGGCAGGCTTAGAATTTTTGATTAAAACTGTATAACTTCCCTAAAAAATGACATTCATTAGCAGCAATTTATGGGTGTCTACAAACTGTAGCTGAGACAGATAGTCAGTTTCTCTCGGAAGATTTGCGTGAAGCTGATCGAGAAGCTGTATTGAGATTTTTAGAGGTGACTCTCTCTTGACCTCGTTTGAGCAACGAAATGCCGATGTCTACAGAAGATTATTATTTTTCACGACACTTCTTCTGGATTATCTTAAGGGTTTAAATAATCTGAAACAAATTAAAATGATTGTTAGACGAAGTGATCCACATTTTATCTGTTATTGTGATGTTGAATTTTTGTTACGCAGCGTCTACTTTCTTAACAAGAAGTTGTCGTTATGCACCGTTATTTTTACATGTAACTCAAATAATACCAACGTGAAGTCAGTTTTGAAGTCGTAATGAACCTAGTCAAAAAAGTGCTAACAAATTTACGTATTGTGAACTCCCGGCAAGTGTTGTAATTTAAAACAAACCTAAGCACTTTCCCTAAAAAGTGAAAGTGCACTGTTCAATAGCACCAATTTATAGTGTGATCTACGTTCAAAAAATGAAACTGTAGCTGAGACTGATTGTTTTCTTTCGGAAGATAGAACTTCATTTTAGTTATAACCTCGCTTTAGTGCGAAAATACATGTACGCAGGTGCATAGAACCCAAGAAGATCATCCTTTCACGAAAACTGTCCTCTCGATTATTTAAATGGGTTTAAGTGTTACTGAACAATAAACGATTTTCAGAGGACGTTTTCCATGGGTTTTCTTTCTTTTCTTTTTTTCCCTTTTACTTTCTTTTTTCTCTTGTTTTTTTTTTTCTGTCTTTATTTGACTCCTGATTACGCTGCGCCAGCTTTGATCACAAGAAGTGGTCATACACCGTTATATAATTCCAACACAATATAGTAACAATGTGACGTCAGTTTACTGTTCTTGAACTTTGCTAGACAAAACTTGATACTTAAAATTTTATCGTATTGTAAGCAGGCAGGTATAATAATTTAAATCAAAACTAGTCGGTAAGGTATAGGGTCCCTAAAAAGTGCCAGTGCATTCGGTAGCTATAGCACAAATTTACAGTGTATGCGCAATATAAAGACACTGTGGACCAATTGTTTCGTGAGGGAGATTTGCGTTAAGCACAGTAGCTGTTTGAATGTTTAAAGAGGTTGGACTGGCCTTTAACCTCGCTTGAGGAAGGAAATGTGTTGTTCCAAGGGAGGATCATATTTTCTCGAAATCTGATTTTAAAGGTTTGTGTGCCTGAAAGAAAAAAGAAAGAAAGAAAGAAAATAGTCTTGCATATTATGATCTTATTTATTTGTTATTTTTGTTTTCAATTACCCTTTTTTTTTGCAGATCAGCAATTTTGATCAGCAATTTTGTACCAAGTTGAAAAATTTCTGACATTGGTTAGGAAGAGTACACATTCCTTGTATTATTTTAAAGAAGATGTATTGGAATCCTTGTTAGACTTGTACTTGTGCAATGCGGTAAGAATTGTAAATAAGTCGTGTTAGATTGTTTCCTTTACTGAGAAGCTTGTTGTGGTAAATAGTGCGGTGGTCTTACGACGGGGAACACTCTCTTTTAATTCAATTGTTACTCTCTCCGCTAAATCATAAAATAACATAGTAAGGAGCTAATCTCACTTTTCAGCGCTGAAACGTCTGATTTGAATCTGATTAACTTATTTTCAACCCCGTTATGAAAAGAGGTTTCAAATATAGAAAATCTTCCTCATTCCAAAACCAGTCGACTTTAAATAGAGCTGCAAAACACACCCACCAAGTATTTGCCGGAGAGGTAAGATACAGCAAGTAAAGCACAGTCAAGAGTGAAGACAATGTTTGCGAAGCAAGTCTTCGGTTACTTCGCTTTTCAGGTGTTATTTTTGCAGCTCACTACAGGTAAATGTCTAAGCTATTGAATGATTCTTGACTACTGATTTCTTACAGTTTCTGCAACAGAAGAAACATTTTGTAAAACAACTTGATTATTTATTCACGTTGCATTTAGAAAATGTTCAGGGAGGTTCTACCTTTTTGAACTGTCAGAAATGACCGCGAACCCACAAATTTAAGAAAGTAGATGATAGTGAAAAATGTCTTAACTTTATGTGTGTATCCGTTCTTAAATACGAATGATTCCTTGGTAAAGGTTTGTGTTAAGGTCCATTTCATTTCACTTATGAACTGGGACATGAAGCAATCCCTTGGAGTCAATATGGAGTGGTTACAATTAGGTTTATTTGTCTGTGCAATGACTGTATACAAGGTCGATGAAAGGGAACGCATACAGATGACAGGGTATTACTTCAATGCAATTAAATGATATTTGTCTTTAAAATACTTTTAACTTTTTTTGCATGTATGGTATTCAAGCGTATGTCTTTCAAACTGGGAAGGTGAATATTTCCGACACATCCCAAAACAACCATGGCTGCCAGACCGTTTCTTTCAATACTCAGTTCCAGGGTTCTGGAGATGTAAAGGTGTTTGCAACGCTTAGCCACGGAAGCGAACATGTCAAAATCCACGACCCAGCGTCTGTTTGGGTGAAGTCAGTGTCCACATCTGGTTTTGATGCCTGCGTTCGTGAAGCAGGCAGTGGTTCTGGAGGCGCGTCTGTGATCAACTGGCTTGCATTTCAAGGTTCGCACCAAGGTCTTGATTCGGGAATCGTTGAATTTGATGAATTCACCTCAAGAACCCAGTGCAAGAGGATATCGCTTAGTATTCAGAATAAGGTGAGATGGTAAAGTAGGTGAATTCAATCAGTCACTTTAACATACTTACAGGTGACAAACAATACATCCTTACTTGGACAAAATCGATCAGGCATGGAAGAAGGGGCCTTAAGCCTAAAGCTACATGTAGAATCGAGAATTCGGAAGTCCCATGCTTTACTGTCATAATTAGTCACTTAGAAGGAACTTTGAAAGTGTCACATCAGGGTTATGTAGAATCCCAGACCTTACATTTCATTCTTCTTTTTTTTTCTGTGACATAGATAATTCTTCTTTTGTTACACTCTGTCTTAGGCGAGACCCCAAGTGTTTGTGACTGTTCTACATAAACATTCCGACCGACCATTTGACTCCATGAACATTTGGCTAGAGGACGTCAAAAAGGATAGTTTTGTGGTTTGCTTGAGGGAGTTTATGAGCTTTGACGGCATCCATTCAGGTCTTAAAGTGGTAAGTTGAGATTAGAGAAGTCTGAGGAGACTAGTCTTTATTGCTCTATTCACGAAATTACCACGGAGGGTTTGTGTGGCAAAGAAGTCCACCTTTGGGTAACTAAAGGGTGCGTTCCAGTACATGTGGCATCACACACTACACTTCTATGTACAGTAAATTCTATATCGTGCTTCTTCTCCAACTTGTATTACAAAAATTAATATATCAAAAACAACAGTGGAAACAAGAAAATCGTTTCAGTTAATGTCTTAAGTGCTAGTTTATTTAGGTTAGATGTACCTGTTCCCAATGCTTTTTGCAGCACTTCTGTCTGTCGGAACTCCCCATCTCAGGACGAAGAATAATGATAATAATCGTCCGCAAATCTGCAAATAAATTTGTGTGTATTCTCTTTTTTTAAAAGAACTGGCTTGCGTATGATGTGCTCCCGGCGTTTTGGAATATTACTGAAAGAGGAAAGCTTCATTTTTCTGGACTTGGTGCACCAAAGAAAGAAAACAACTATGCTTTTTGTCAGGTTGGAAAGACTAACGGTCTTCTACATGTATGAGCCTCTGTTTAGTTTAGTACGGCTCAAGGGAAAACGTGTATCGCCTATTTCTAGGAGAGACTATAGCAGTCTGTTTTTATAATAAATGTACGGTTATCAGTGACAAAATAGGGTTTATCGTATCGTTGATCCTGATTTCTGTTGTACACCTGTATTTGAATTGTACAAAAGTGCATCCACTAGCAGTCTTTATAACCTTGATGTTGCACTATAATCTCTTTTATTTATTTATTTATTTATTTTAGAAAACTTGCAGAACTTTGTTCTATTTGGAATAAGAGAAAAAAAGCTGTTGGAGGCAGGCAGTGTACATGAACTGATGCGTTTTAAGACATTTTTAAATGTCTTAAATGTTAAACAAGAAAATTACAGAAAGGTCTTTGAATTACAATACTTTTTCTTAAACCAAGGTCGGAATAAGAAGGTGATAATCTTTGAATAAGGCTTTATCAATGCATTTTTTGTGTAATTTTTTTTTTTTCAGGATTATAAATTCGAAAATCCATTTTACGAGCCTCCTAGTGTCCTCACGTCTGCCAGACATGACAACGTTACCAGTGCTCTGTGGATAAAGGCTGATGGTCGTCTGAGCAATGCTTTTAAATGTTTGGATCGAGGTAAGTAATTTTCCAGGCCATATACAGCCATTTATCTTTCCTTATTTATTGAAACTGATTTTAGAGTTCTTTTTTCAATTGCCTCCACACTCCAAGTAACTGAGTAAAAATGAATTAAGCGCTCGAAGTGGCTGCACCGCTTTTATATTTAACTTAATCAAATTCCTTAGTCATTACAGTAATTGTCGTTTCAACTATGGTTTTGTACCGAGAAATTTATTATTATTATTATTATTATTATTATTTCAATTGTGGGCTAGAAAAAGAGTGGCGAATAAAAGAACTTCATTCAATTTCAGTAAAATTGATTTTTCTCGAAAAAATTGACTGAGATAAGTGTAAAAAGTTTTTTTTCTGCACATACTTTTCTTGCGTTTGTACTTCTTACACCACAAAAGAAATACCCACGCCTTAAAAATCTAGGAACTAGAAACGTAATTAATACGCAGAAAGCTCCACTTCTTTTTCATTTTACTTGGATAGACTAAGGAAATTTTTGAACAACGCGATACTAAGTTGTAAATTTAATATTTAGTTCATTGTTTAGGAATTCTACAAATTTTTTTGTAACTTAAGTTTGACTGGAGTTGTAGTAAATTGATCGAACTGAACAGTATTTCTTGCTAAATTTGTAGCAGTTATAACTGAATGAATTTGTTATCTTCTAGGAAATCACTCGTTTGTCTTTCAAAGTGTGCATCAAGGACAGCCAGGGAATAAGCAAGTCTCACGATCCAGTTACAGTAGACTATGCAATTGTGGGAGGTAATTTGTTGTTTCCATTGCATCCAGAAAAATAAGATCAGAAAAGTTTCAAAAGAAAGAAAGAAAAGAAAAACAAGAAAGATAAGTTTTTGGACATAATTATATACACGTAGTGAAAGTCTTAAAAATGTATTGTCTTCTATAATTCTTCTGACTTAAGTCTAGGACCGCATGCCGAATGGAGTAATATTTTTCCGAAAAATGTATATTTATTTTAAGCACTTCATGCTTCAGTAAGATTTCTGATAGGAGTTTAGGAAAAAATTGGTTAAATTCCTGTCGTAAGAAGTGATTTTGTATTTTTTCTCAAAGATATTGACCCGTGCACAAATGTTACTTGCGAGTACCATGCCATCTGCAAAGCTTTCTCTGCATTTGATGCTCGTTGTGTATGTGATGACAACTGCCCGTCGTACGAAGAGCCCGTATGTTCATCTAACTCGACAACATTCAAGAACAAGTGCTTTTGTCTGCTGGACATTTGCAAACGCAAAAAGTAACCACACGCTTTATCATCCTGGCAGCTGTACAGGTAAAATTTTTAGCTTTTTTTTACCTTACTTCTTTGTTGCCAACTACAAAGCATGAGACGATCTACTAGGCCTGACTAAGGATTAAGTATTGCTTTTGTTTCCGCCTTTTTAGCACAAGTTCCTCTTCTCGCTCTAGCCCTCCCCACAAACACACACACACACACACCATCCCTATAGATGAGTTGTAAGATGGGTCCATTACCACGTTTTTAGCTCTTGATATCACTTTGTTTTGGTTTGTTAGTTTGTTTGCCTAATTTGCCAAATGCGTACTTACCAATTGGAGGTATTACTTTTATAGGGCATTTACACCTGACATTGAAGCAAAAACTACTTGTTCCTCTATCCTTCTTTGTTCTAACTTTTTTGTATTTGTACATTTCCTCTTGCCTCCACTTAGGCTTTCCTGCTCAGACCGGGCGGGTTTCACTCGTAAGACATGTAAAATCGGCTGAGACGGCCTGTAAAGTGGTGGAATTTCCGCCATTCTCCTTCTATCCAGACAAAGAGGTACACGTGCAATTAACGACCAATCACTGGAACATAAGCAGGAAAAATTTTATACATGACGCCACAGTTTCATGGGTACACACCGTTAACTACAAAAACTTTGAGGTGAATATTGAAAACAATGTTTTAGTTTATCCTAAAGGACAGCGGTCTACCAAGTGATGATAGTTACTAGGTTTAAAAATTCGCATACTCGTCTTGTATCTTTTTATAATTAATTTCTCTTATCCCTTTTATTGACGATTTGTGAAAAAAATCGTCCTTTAATTGCTGAGTCAGACGTAATTACTGTTTAATTACTGTTCTTTAATTCCTGTTGTGCTTCGGTAATTTTATAACTTGTACCACTTTTATCATTTTAATATTGCTTACTCTGCATGTCTTGTTTATTCTCAAAAATTAACATTACACATACATAAACATACATAACTTGGTATCAGATGTTATTTTTATACCGGGGAAGCCCTGTGAATATGTAGCCCTTAGCTTTTGCAAATGTTATCCAGTGATTAAAAAAGTATACCGAGGAAGCCCGAAGAGCAAAATGTTTGTATTCTCGATTCATCAGTAATTAAAAACCTGCAATTACGAGGTAAAATCTCAATTAACCAAATATGTGTTGAATTGTATCTTTAGGTCTGCGTGACAGCAGCAGGACGGAATGACCGCTCCTTGGCTTACCAAGGAGCACCTGATGGTGGTGTGGCGGGAAAATCACGCATTTCAAAGTGGTGGACTGGATCACAGTGTGAAGAAGTTAACCTTCCCCAGGCAATTATCTATTTTGTTTCCATTTTCTGGAATTGCACTTAAGGTAGTTGTTTTTTGGGACCTAGAGGTGGCGAGAGGTCATGCCACCCTCCCATTAGTAATATCTATGATTACGAATCTTACGGTGTTGGCAGTAAGTCTCGCAATTTCGATGCTGAAGTAGGAAATTGCATCATTTTTTCAATTGCCGCCATACTGGGTTTTTAATGTCTTAGGAAGGTGCCCGATTGTAACGAAATCAAGTTGTTCAGATATTTTGCATTATTCTTAAAAACCATAAAAGTTGTTTTGCATAGCAAAAAATAAATCAACAAAAATACGAGATATCCTATCAATGTGAACCACGGTCAAATGTCTTATTCTTCAAATAATTTCGATCTAAAAATGCTTTTTTTCAGGTTGGACTCCATAGCACAAAGTATGTTTAAGATTTTTTTTATTTCCAGGCTAAACCCTTTAAAAGTGCGAAAACAAGCCTTCATTCATGCACTAAATTTTGTATACATGGCAAATATTCGTCTTCCAATTATGCCTAGATAGGTTAAAGCATAAACCAACAGAAACTGAAACGATGAAACGAAGCGGACAAAACCGGCCTTGTACAACCCAAGGCCAAACTCGTGGGGGCCAGACACTTCACCACCATACGGAAAGACCATGTACAAATCGAAAAAAAGTCGTGTACTTCGTACATGCAGATCGTGTTTCATTCTTTCATTCTGATTTTTTTTAATTCTTTGTTTTGGATATGCTATTTAAAAGTTAACAATATTAATTAGTCTGGAGATACGACTTTCCATTCTTGATTTTCATTGATTTTCATTAATGGTTGCTTTATAGGGAAAGTTTGCTACTGCCCCAAGAATCCTGGTTACAGCACAACATATAAGTGCAGCCTTTAAGCACAACGCTGCGAGTTTGTGGGTGGAGAACGCAACCAGTTCCTCCTTTTACATTTGTCTTCGAGAGCTTCAGAACTATGATGGTCTGCATGAAGATATCTTTGTGGTAATTTTACATTTTTTTTTCTTAAGAGATATACATTATGAACACTAAAGAAAAAAGCACAGAAAGCAAGGCTTTAATGAACCTTGTGTTAAAGAGAAGCGGACATTAAGGAAGAAGATATTCCATCAGCTGGGGCTGATAAAAAATTCCATAGTCTTATTTTCATATTCTTCTGAGAAAAAGAGCAGCCACTATAAGAATATCGCAGCACTGTGTTTCAAATTTTAGACTCCATTTCACAACAAGTGATTGCTAATCATATCTTCAATAATCCAGCCAGGAACGCTTTAGCTCTTAAATGACTGCCGTTAAAGACAACTAAGTGTTCAGAGTCCTGGAAACGGCCACTCTGTAGCGGAAAAAAACGCTTTTTTAACCAAATCCAAATTTTTGGACCTGTTCAGTTTTGACCAATTGGCACGAAATTGGCTAAAAAAGAGATTTGCAAAACCAGATGCACGTTTTCTTGCTAATTGGATGCGTTTATGCAGCTATGTTGTAATACTTTTTCAGAATTGGATGGTCTTTGAAACAATCCACCGGCCCCTTTTTGCCGAGAGCAAACAAGTGAATTTTCCAAACAACAGCCCTGTTTCTACAAACTACAATGGTGCATTTTGTAAGGTAGGAAGCGAGCTCGTTCTGTAACTTTACGATAATCCGTTGGCATGTTTTATGTTCTTCAGCAATTTAACAGATAAAAAAGCTATGCAACAGGTTTTCCATGTTTCACATACTATGTTGTAAAGCGGTGTTTTCTATTACTATCACCACCTTCACAACAGTACTCCTTTTAGGAGGCTCCGGCTTGTGCGAGTGCGGGGGAAAATTTTGCACTGGCGGCTATGCCGCCAAAATTTCCCTCGAACTCGCACACTTGACCCTGCTCGCAGGCCATTCCTCGAGAAAAATCGTAGCTAGCGTGGGGGTGTGATTGAGCAACTAGCTCGCCACACGATGAGGTACCAGGGATCTTATTTACATCTTGGTCTTTATTCTTCTTTGACTTATGCGAACAATCTTAATCTTAATCTTCTTACTCTGCTTCTCAACTCAGTCCTTACTCTGACCTAACTAAGTTTTAGCCGTGGGATAGCAGCGGTTTTTATAGCCAAAGCTGGGCATGTTTGGGTTTGCTGACCGTGGGAATAAAATCAAGATAAACTCGGTGTGGGTAATGTTTTGTTATTACTGAACCGACATGGTTGCGATCGGCACGAAGCTACAAACTAATGAAAAACTAAAACGCTGGTTAACGCACCCAAACAGGAACTTCAACGAGACTAATGAACCAAGGTCAGCTCTAACATCACAAACACGACCACCTAGCGAGCTAAGCAAAAATTCAAGTACATGTAAAAGCAAGTGATCAAAACAGGAAAACACGTATGTGGACAAATCAAGACTAACCTTGACCCACTTAATGAAACAAAAACGAAACTTAAAAGAATAGACGGATCTAAAAATCAATTTTCAATATACTTCACAAGACTAGTTTTCGACACCTATCACCAAGTATCAAAGGAAAAATAATAATTTTAATTTTATTTCCAGTATCATATTAACAGCCATCGTTTTCTATCCTTAGGATTTGCAGTTTGCAAGAAATTACGACAAAGAACCCATAATAATAATAGCAGCCAGTCACAACTCCGAGGGCAGCAATCTGAAACCAACACACATGTCTGTTACTGCATGGATTGAGGTATGGAAAGATGCAGTTGTTGTATGTTATATTTACGAGTTCAGAATGCCAAAAAATAAGTAAATAAATAAATAGGTCAGATCTGAAATACCCTTAGGAAGTTAAGCCCTGTAAAATAATGTACATGTATCAACTTAAGCCAAGGCTTATTCCGCGTAGAACTTTCAGTTTATCAACCATTGTTATTTAAATCTAACACATTGTGTTTCCAAAAGTAGTTTCTCCTGCTCCCTGCAAATTTCAAGAGTTTCAGTAATTTCGTGTTAGCAAGAAAGCGACCTTATGGTAGGCCTTTAGGCGAAAGAACTCAAAACCAGTACGGTAGTCACATTTTTATCTTTATCACTAAAAACATTTTGTAAATAATACAATTTGTCGATATGAGAGTAAAGAATTGTGAAAAGAAGTTTTGTGAGACCACATGATCTCTCACAAATTCGTCATTTTTGATTTTGAGGCAGCCACCAAAACGTCTGAGCGCGCAGTTGCCCAGTCAACGATGAACTGAGCAAAAATATGTTTTCTTCTATCCTGGAATGAACACAGTGACACAAAAATTCCCTTTTTAGCCATTTTTTTTTTTCGCAGTTTTAGCATAGAAATGAATCACAAGAAAATTTGCGAACACTTACTCGCAAATATCGCAAAAATAACGAGCGTAACAAATTTGACAAAATTCTAGACTCATAAAGGGAAAAGGCCAAGAAGGGCCTCGAGAAGTCGGCAAATTTCGCAAAAATCCATAACAATCAAGAGCAAAAAAACCTGACATGTTACATCCCTGTTTGACGCCGGTTTTTATGTCAGACCACTTGCCTAGTTGCCCTTGGTCTTCTACAGCACCCTTGAAGTCTTCATAGAATATTTTTACCATCCTAATGATCTTTTCTTGGACTCCGTATTTCTTCATGATTGTCCACATGCTTTCTCGGTGCATAGAGTCGAAGGCCTTTTCAAAATCTATGAAGTTCAGAAAGTGTTGCTTGCCACACATTAACCTGCTCAATGATGTTCCGCAGTACAAACCTCTACAAATACCTGTTCTGTCGTCCCCCTGCCTTTTATATATCCTTCCTGTTCTTAATTTCCTTATATAATGTGTCATCGACTTCACTTCTTATCCTTATCGATAATAATCCTGAATAGTATCGTTCCCACAACAGAGAGTAAGGTTATGCCTCTCCAATTCTTGCAGTGTTTGGTATTTCCTTTTTCTGCTAGTTTGATGATGAGCCCTCGCCTCCAACTCTTCGCGATCTTTTCATACTGCCATATTTTCTTCATCAGTTGATATATTTTCTCTGATGAAAACTCTATGTCTGCTTTCAGTAACTCTGCTGTTATGGCGTCATTCCCGGTGCTTTCCCATTTTATAATCCCTTTTTCGCTGCCTTGACTTTGCCTACTGCTAGGTTGTCTACTGCTATCTCTTCTACTTTGTCATGGACGTGATCGTCCCGATCATCAGTTATTGAGTTTGCTGATGCTTTTCTATTAAGCACCTCCTTAAAGTGTTACGTCCATCTTGCCTTTACTTCACTGTTACTACTGATGAGGGTTTCATTCTTGTCTAGAACCGTTGTGCTCTATCTCGATCTTTCATTTCATAACATCATTGTAAGCTCATATAGTGTCTTATGTGTTGGCTCCTTGCAGCTTCTTCTGCCCATCTGCAATGTTCTCCATCCACTTTCTTTTATCCGCTTTTATACTCTTCTTAACTTCTCTGTACTTTTCTGTATACCTCGCCCTTAGTTGTCTCTTGACCTTTTCTGATCGTGTACTGAGAATCTTTTTATTGATTTCCTCCCTTTGCTCTACAAGATTCCATGATGCGTCACTGGTAAATAGTTCTTCCACTTTCCTGGTCTACCTAGAACTCTATCTGCAACCTCAGGGTACGCCCTCTCCATCACTTGAAAGTCACGCTATATTTCTTCGTCTTCCTCTATTTTTAGCCCTTCATCCTCAAGTACCTGATATCTGTTCTTCAGGGCTATGCTAAATGTCTTCAAGGTGTTTTCATTTCCGATGTTCGCAGACCTGTAAACCCTAGTGTCTTCCACTGAATTCCTAAATCTTTTATTAATGAGTACGTGATCTATCTGATTCCTGGTTATCCTATTTGGCGAGTACCCATTGTAATTTACAAGGACAGAATACCAGAACCAAAAATCCAAGTAAACCACTTAACACGGTGCGCGACATAAAACGAACTCGACGAGAAGTGAAGGAAGTAACATGAACAGATTTATTGAACCAGAGATCAATGTTCCTAGCCCAGAGGTCACAACTTGATACAGAAGAATCGACGGGGTCGATTGACAAGACAAAAGGTCTTTAAGTTGTGAAATCGGTACAAGTCGTACAAAGTCGGTTCGAACTGAAAACGATAAAATCGAACGAAAACTTAGCTAAAAAATACATAGAGTGCAAATATATCTGACTAAAAACCGATGATACCAAATAGCGAACGGGAACTAAATAACACTAGAAAATACATTAAATCAGCCTATAAAGTTATTAAAGTAATACGACGATAAAGCTGCTGATATCAATCACTCAGCATACTCATGTTGAAGAGTAGCGCATAAGAACCCTTAAAACCACTGTAGCTCAGTGATGACAAGACTAAATAGATCCCTCGCATAAACAGAAAAGGTTACAACAACGATGTTGCAAATTGATAACCAAAACTAAGCTCTATAATTCCTATGATGAAATCGATACTGAAAAAACTAAAACAGAAAAGGAAAACTATACTCACTTTGGTTTACACACACACCAGTGTTATCTTGAATCAAAAGCTATGCTGAACTTGATAGTTGATGAGCACGAGTGTAGATAGAAATGAAGCCCCAATGGCTGACAGAAGTTAACACCATGAAGTCTACACTAGAACTGAACTAACTAAGATGAAAACGCTAAATTTGTAATAAAGAAAACGTGCTTGAAAACGATCTAGAAATTATTACGTATTTCCCAAGGCGGACATAACAAAAAAGGGCTGGGAAAGTAGCCGTGGGCTTATCAATAAAAATCATCATTTATGTAGGCGATAATCGATTTATAATAACTACCGTAAGCACGTTCATGCACCAATAAGGGATAACGAAAAGAAATCACGTTTCAAAACCAACACCCATGTTGCTTTTTGTGTATATTCTTATGAGAGAAGAGTCTCTTTGTTAGACAAAAGACTAAGCAACAAATATTACAAAAATATATCAAATTTAGAAAGAGAAAAGCCAAGAAGGGCCTCAAGAAGTTTGTCAAATTTCGTAAAAAATCGCAAAGGGAGCAAATTTTTTTTGGTTATTTAAAATATCGCAAGAATAGCAAGAATAACAAATTTAATAAAATTCTAGACTTGAAAAGAAAAAAGACAAAGCTACAGCCTCAAGAAGTCCGCAAATTTTGCAAAAATCGCAAAAACAACAAGAATATTTTTTTGTTATCCTTTAAAAGTCTGAACTTTTGCGCAAATTGCTATATTGCGTAATTTGTTAGCGTGTTTTGTTTTTGTTGTTGCTGCTGAATAAAAGTTCTTCTGACTTTTTGCGATTTTTGCGATATTTGCAGGCTTCTAGAGGACCTTCCCTAATTTTTTCTTCGTAAGTCTTAATTTTTGCTAAATTTGTTATTCGTTTTTATTCTAGCAATACTTCGTAGCGTTTATTTTTGTTGATGATGTTTCGCCCTGTTCTTCACAGGCCTTTTTTTCCCGTAGAAAATGACATGGGAACGGTGCCCTGGAAAAGATCCCTCGCTGGAAATGAGAACTCTCGATTCGCTTTGTGCTGAGAAAGAGTTTTGCGTTTGAAGCGAATATACATGTCATAAATAGGATATTATTTATTTTGCAGCACATTAAGACTGGCGAATTCCGCATTTGTCTCAAGGAGTTGTACGCAAACCAGCATGATCCTGTGAACGTGACCTATGCAGTACTAGCAGGTGGGTTAGACGGCGGAAAAAAAATCTTCCTTTGCAATTACAATGACCACGGACACTTGAATTAATTCAATTATATAAGTTTCAATTATTATCATTACTAATATTATTATTATTATTATTATTATTACTATTATTATAAATTTTTATAATTTATTGATTGATTACAGTCAAACCCCGTTAATACCGACACCAAGATTTGATTGAACTTCATTAACTCTTGTTTGTTTATGCAAAATGATCGTTTATTTCACCATTGTTTGCCAAATGAATATCATGAGTACTGATAAAATCACCAAGCCTTTTATTGTAAATGCGAACTTGGTTTCCCTGTCGATTACAGGGCACAGTAAAAAGCAATTAATTAATTAATGGACTCCAGCCTTTTGGATACTGGCTTAAAAAATTCTCAGTGAAAAACTGCAAGGGGTGACAGGCTGCACGTCTATACCTTTAATGTTTTGGCTCTAACAAGCATGTCCTTCGCCATAATTTTCCTTTCTCAAAGAAATAACACTTTAACCCTCGGACGTACAAGGGGTGGGGGGTGGATACCCCCCCCCCTTTAGGTTTTTCTGGGATTTTTCCAAGAGGATAAAACATCAGCACCTGTCGTTTTCAGTAGATGTTTGTTTATCCCTCGCAC